TTTTCCATCAAAAACAAACCGATTTCAATCGTGGTTAAACCAGTAATTTGGATTTGAAAACTAAACCATTTAACCAAATTCTTTAAATTTCTATAGGACTAATCTGAAAATATATCCTTTTGCATAAAAAAAGAATTTTTCAATTCCAAAATGATTATTATAATTATGATACAGTAAATATTAGAAAAAAAATCAATCAAGTTGAGAGCTTTTAAAGTCGGTCATCAAATAAAGTACAATATAAATTTGCTAATTATCTAGTGGCACGGCAACTGCTAAAAAGCCAAGCGATCAAAAGGTTAATAAAAAAAAAAAACAACCAGCAGCCTATCGGACGAGGATTATTAACAAGGCTGTGTAAGCTATTAATATAAAGTAACCAAAAAATTTTTATCATCGTATAAAGCCAGTATCATAGTTTGGTTCAGAATTTTTCACATGCATATTTAAAAAGGACGAGGTTTGACATTTTTCGAGCTATTTTTCGTGTTCATATCTTGTGAAAGAGACGATCCATTATTATTTTTAAATTTAATCTTCTTTTCATGTCATTTAATGTATTTTTACATATTTATAACCGTTGGATATTTGTGGTGACCGATTAAACATAAACGGTTACCTATTTTAATATTTCTTTGTATGTCAATCACCACTGTACATTTTGCTGTGAATTTTTATAAAGGTTACAACGAACAAAGACAATAATGACATATGGATAGACAGTTATGAAGGAAATCATACGTGTTCGTAAAAATGAAAATATATTTTTTTTCGGTTCTCGGTCAGACTAAGAGTTTTTCCAAAACATCTGTCTTTTGGATTGCGTCTCGACGTGTAAGTACGTTGTTTGGTGAACGGGATATGTTATTTGTGGATGGGAATTGTCAAGCTATAAATATCTGATACTGACATAGGAAAATACAAGCCCGAATGTACAAGTACCTTTATAAACATAAACAAAATTTCAAACTAATATTCGGCGAACATTCAGAAGTCTTTAAAACCTCGTTTCCCTAGGATTATATAAATAGACATTATTTGCTTCGTGAAGTATTCGGTTAAATTAGAAACGGTTTACATTAACACTTGTTGTATTCCGCGGCTTTCCTCGTCTACCTTAATTTGTTGAGTTATTGTATATATAACTCAGGACATGATCTATTTAATCTGATGATATATTGTCTAGTCGTTTAAGCTCGATTGAGTATTTAATATTAAAAATTTTACATTTAAAATATTAATGATTTTTGTCCGTCATTTTGTTTGTGTAACTACATAGGTTTGTTTTGATGGACTGGGATAACTCATATTTATAAGAATAGAAGTAGGATTTTGATGGATATCATATATATACAATGATGAGATATCCTTGCAAAATAATATTTTACTGATTTTTTTTTATACAACTTAGAATGGAAATAAACTGACGGCCCACCTGATGGAAAGTGGTAACCGTCGCCTATAGACATGAGCAGTACCATGGACATAATGGAGTATACTGTTTTGCCCATGATAACCCCCCCCCCCTCCCCCATTCGTTGCTGAGGACTCAGGTGTTATTCCTCTGTACCCAGTAAATTCACGCCATATTCCACCCTTTAAACCGAAACACAGCCATGCAAACACAACTGCTTCACGGCTGAAACACGAATGGGACAGAGGTACCCAAGCAATCGACTTTTGTACAAAGTCTCCCGCTAGATGTTATATTACGGAAGTCCATATGGTTATTTGATTAGAATTATTTTGTTTCATTCTGCTACTATTATGATAATATGTATGTAACTACCAACACTCAAAGATTGTCCACCATTATTACTACCAGAAGTTCCACAATCTTCCATAATAGCCATCATTCTCCGACCGCCATCCAATCCGAACGGTTAACATTAGGCTCCGAGCAGTGATCTCATAATTTGCCTGAAGATGCCTCGTTCAGAGATGAAACACGTGTCGCAAAACGTGCGTGAACAAAATGGCAGTTACATACATACTAATGGTAGCGGAATTTAACAATATAAATCTAATAATCAAACAACCATTAAAAATAAAATAATATTATAATAAAGTACTTATCAGAATAAACAATATGTTTACGTCTTTATGTGGTAGTTTGGTTAGCATTACGCCGTGTGTTCCGGCATAGCATAGGCCATTCCTTCCTTTTCCGAAGGTATAGTAAGAAGCGACTAACTTAACTTAAAGTTCAAGGGGTAGGCAGCAGCGTCTCTTTTAAAACATCTTTAAAAGCCTAATTGCGGTTGTCAACGTGCCTGCTAAACATGGCATCTACGGGCAAAACTCCTCTAATAGGAAAGGCTTATGTTCAGCAGTGGATAGTTAACGGCTGAAATAATAATAGAGGTATTATTCGACTTCTATCATTATGGAGAACTAACTACTTATTCAAATTGTATCCACATTTTGCCGAACATAGTAGCATCCAATGCGACAGAGGGCGAGCTTACCGTCATTATTTGGATTAACCAATACACCGCAATTTACTGTCTCTGTATAGCGTAACTATTGACTGGTAGAGAATGCTATCAGACATTAAGTCCACCATCTAGATATATTTTAATACAAGCAAAAATATAAATAAATAAATTAATTCGGTTTGTTGACACTGTTTTATTTCACTGGAGATTTTTTAGTCAGATATTAAAATTGACACAAAATATTTTGTGGAAAATTCCAACTCACGACCTTTGAAGTTCATAAGCCACGTAAGTATACCACAGCGTTTTCAATATTATCGCAAGTAAATGTTACCGCGCTAAATTTTTTGGTAATACCCTCTATATATTTTTATATACGTGCAACTTGACTTTATTATGCATATTGTTAACTACGGAGCTAATGAATATTCACGAACAATGTGAAAAATATCAGCGGTTTCGCTTACGGAAAACAGATTAACAAGTGTCACTTAATATTTTTTTTTTGTAATTTGAACTAGTGATTCCGCTCGACTTTGCACTGGTAGATAGTTTAAGGAAATAATATATACCCTATGTTATTCGCTGATAATGTAGCTGAAATTATTTTCAAAATCGGTTGTGTAGTTTTTAAGTTTATTTATTAACCCTCATCATTTCAGCCATTATCTGTTCACTATTCATAGGCCTCTCCATAGACTGCCGTAAAGAACGATTCTTAGCTGCAGGTTTATTTATTATAAACAATCAATTCTTTTCTCCTGATAATTATAATATAAATAAAACGGGTTTCGACTTTTAAGAGACAAAATGTGTCTACATTTTTAAATATACAAAACAAAGTCGCTGTCTATATCTGTCTATTTCTCCTGTTAATTCTAAACTGTACAATGAATTTTGATATGGAATTCACTGTCATTTAGATGTTTTTCTACCGAAGGTTTGTATGTACAACTTCTATCCGTGCAAAGCCAGGGCAGGTTGCTAGTGTTGTTTATAAGAATATTTATTTTATAAGTAGGTTGGTGTAGGCCTAATAACATTTATTTATTTTTGCCTTTTACCCACAATCATTTCTTCGTTTTCATTACTTCATAATTAGATTACGTGTATGCCAATTTAGCCCTTTGTGAGGAATTTAGCCAGGAATTAACTATGATGGATTCCAGAGCGGACAGACTGACCTGATAGGGTATTTTGTTAGTAATAGGGATTAGAGTCCCGTAACTAACAATCTCTTTCCCCATGGCGATTGGTTAAGCCGTTAAGGCGCCAAAAGGTAATAAACAAACAAACCCCAATATCGAATTTATAAACTTTGGCACTAGTAAAGAAAATATTAGGATAATTTTAAACAGCTAAATGATACATCTAAAGTATAAGTAAACTGAAGTGGAAATTGGTCAGTGGAATACTTCGGAGAAGGAACGTTCACGATTAGTTTTGGTAGTTATTTGAAGTGTATTGTAAAAGAATGTATAAGCATATATTATGTCAAATAAGATGTAATATAATATATAGCTAAAGGTATAAAATATAATGGAACAGACAATATAGTATGTAATAAAAGGGGAATAAATATATATGACATCATTTATATAAGTAAATCAGGAAAGATTCTGTGATGATATTGTTTTGTTACGAGAGAAATATTTAATATGACCAGCAATAGAGAATATATAATAGGAGTTAAATATTGTTATAATTATTGTGTTATTAACTGAAAAGGCAACAATTGAAAAACTTAACATCGATAAGTAGATTATGTTCTAATAAAAAAAAAAATATGGAAATTAGTAATAAATAGTGTTTTTTTTTATACAACTTAGAATGGCAAACACGCCACCTGATGGAAAATGGTAACCGTTGCCTATAGACATGAGCAGTACCATGGACATAACAGAGTATACTGTTTCGCCCATGATGAACTCATGAGAAGCGTTGCCATTCCTGAAGACTCAGGTGTTATTCCTCTGTACCCAGTAAATTCACGCCATATTCCACCCTTCAAATCGAAACACAGCCATGCAAACACAACTGCTTCACATTTGAAACACTATTAGTTGGTGTGCTATCATGTTATTTGAAATGCTATCATGTTATTTGAAATGTTCTAAAAATATTATTACTAATGTTATTACAAATGTTACTAGTAAAATTACTAGAAACGCTGCAAGAAACTATCATCATCATCTCAGCCATTATCTGTCCATTGCCGAACATAGGTCTCTCCCATAGACAGTCACAAGGAATGGTCCTGCATACACTGACTTCCTGCAATGCATCTGAGGTCGTCACTATATCTAGCGGGGGGACATCTTACGCTGCGTTAAGGCACTCAAGAACCTTTCTTCGCCATCGGTTGTCGGTTCTTCGAGCTACGTGATCAGTCCATTTCCATTTCCTTCGGTTATGTCGGTTACATTGATTATTTTGAGGATATATTACTGCGAGAAATATTAATCGTTAATTACTGAAAGTGTTGCAAGAACCGTTGAAATATTACTGTGAATGTCACTAAAATACTATTAGATTTTTAAACTGTTTTGTTTTTGTCAACAGGTCTTATAAACCGTACCAACATCATGCCAACCCCAGAGCTTTGTGTCATCAACAATCGTTTCTTCTGGATTTTTGGATCTCTAGTCGCATTCTATATCCCCATGCTGATGATGGTAGTCTCCTTTGCGTTGACGGTCCAACTTCTGAAGAGGCAGGCGAGGTTGGCTGCTACTCCTGTACCTGGCGGCATGCAAAGACGGTAAGTAACTAATTTAAATACAAGTTTAAGGTGGAAACAATTAAAAACTTGTTTAAAGACATCAAGTTTAAGTGAGGAACAATTGTTTAAGTACACTTGATAATGATGGGCCTTTTAGTTGTTCAATACAAAAGTTTTTGCTCTTGAAAATTGTTAACTTTTATTAGCATCTACATTCGTATTACTTTTAAGTGATTTTCATTTTCTTTCTATCTTATTCGCATCTAATTAATAAATACTTTTATCGATAGTCCCATTCGTAACCGTGAAGCAGTTGTGTTTGCATAGCTGTGTTTCGGTTTGACTGAATTTAACAGAGGAATAACACCTGATTTGGCAACGCATGGGGGGTATCATGGGCGAAACAGTATACTCTGTTATGTCCATGGTACTTATTCTATAGGCGATCTAATTTCTAATAATTCTGTATTTATATAAAATTTTATATATTATATTTATTATGTAATATCTCAATATTTTTAGTAGTATTATGTATTCGTTGATTTGATCAAAATCTTATATTTGAGAAAAACATTCTGTGAATTTAAATTGATTTTTGAGTTCTAATATATTGTATTAATAATCAAATACATATATATCTGTTAATTGTTCTATAGAATAAATAACTTAAAATAATGAAATAACATTATAATCAAAATCTGAATGAAATATTTGTGTAAATCCAAATTAAAGTCAGTTAACCTCACTTACCAATTTAAATACAATTATATTGCGACAATTTGGGCTCCATTCTAGTTTATTAACACCCTAATAACTCCTGGCCGGCCGCCAAAGCGGGGCTCAGCATCCATCACAATGAGACGAGTGAAGTACGACTATAAAGCAGCTCTCCAATTATCTTAGAGTAAATGGAAAAAAGATTTTTGCTTGCAACTCGATCATTGATATTACGAAAGTCCAAGATTTAAATGTTGTCGATTCCTCATCGTAATTAAGAAACTATAATCTATTACAATAGAATTTAATGAAAAGAGAAGGAAAACCATGTTTTGTCAAAATTAACACGGATTCTCTCTCAAAATAAAATGATTAACAAATCAAAACATTCAATTAACTTTCGATTTGTAATTATATATTCTATCCATTAGGATTACCAGACCGTTTTTGGTCATCTGTTTACATTTTTCTTAAATTGTAGTGAAACAAATTTTATATTTTTATAAAATTTATAAGAATTTATTGTATTACGTTTACCACAACGGCAACAGTCAACAAATGCCTTTGACTATTGTATTAAGATCTATAGTCGTGAGTATATATTTTTTTTTCTAAGAATATTTCGGTACGTTTAATTATAAATGCCACTGGTTAGAATTGAGCGCAAAATTTGGTTAAATGCGCTCTATTTTATTTCAGTTTTTAGCTTCTTACTGTGTATCTAGGATGTTTTTATATATCAATGAACTCGTTTTGAGTATTCAAATTGTTGAAATATCTACTATTTTTACCTCACTGAAGACAGGCGGGTAATGTTTTTTAAAAGTATATTTGTAAGTTGCCAATTGGCATAAATCTTAATAAATGGATTGTCATTAGTTTAATATAAATTGTAGGAGTATTACGTAATATCATGTTTCCACAAAACACAGGTAGTGTTACAGTTGTACTAGCTGTTGTCTGCAACTCGTACATGTGGATATTGGAAATAGAAAAATCAACGAAATAGAACACTTTTAAATTACTTTTCAAGATAAAACACACATACACACACACACACACATACACACACACACACACACAACTATGAATACTACATCCAATTTGGTGTTGTAGTTTTTGCGTGATGCCGGAACAAATATATGTATATACAAACAGACAAAAATAATTGAATTTCAAACGTGGAACCGTTTGTTCTTTTGCTTTGCAACGATCAGTTTTTGCTATGCAAATAATAAACAACACAATCTTCATAAAATTAATATTCGACCAATATTGGGATAAACATTGTGGATTGAAAAAAGAATTAGAAAAATAAAAGATCAGAATCAGTTGAGAATTGGCGTGGTAATGGCGTAATATGAGTCACAAAAGTACAGACAAACTGGGAATCTCCTTTTATCCTTTTGAAAGTCGCATAAATGACATGTACTTATTTATATTTTGTTGCTTGTTGGCTGAAATTTTATTACGTACTTCGAAACAAACTAAACACCACTATTGGCCAAAGCAAACAATTACATTAGGGTTTTACGGGCGATTATGTTTATGTTCGCATATATGTGGCTTGGAGCGTTTATTGCGTGTTTAGGAGTTTATTGTCCCAATCTGCTGTGATCTTGTTTACTGAATATCCCCGGAGTCCACTGACTTTTCCATTTGTTTCGGAAGCGGAATTAGCGAGTTAATGTTAAAATTTTTTTTTTTTTAATTTGTAGATACATATTAGGATAGTTGAAGATAACGGTTTCATTTCTTATTTCTTCGCCATTCAGGCATATCGAAATGCGCTATTTTTTGATATTTTTATCTATTGAAACAAATACATTTATAAATATAAACTACGGGTTCACTTCTAGCAAAAATTACAATGTAACATATTTTTTAATCTCTTTGTCTTTTTTCCTTTGGTTTTTATAAAAACGAAATATTGTAATATTTCTGCCTGTTTTTATTGTAATTTGCTGTTCTGATTTATCATCATAAGAATTAAATTTGTATAAATATGTATATTGTATTAAAGCAATAATGTTTATAAAAAGCTTTAAAGTGACGATGAAGTGCATCGTGACGAATTTATCAGAAATTCACCACGATGGGTTCCGGGGGAGATAACGTGAAGGTCGAAATAACATACCCTATATTTGTAGTAATGGGACCTCTAGTGCTGGTAATGTTTTTCTTCCAACAGGTTAACGTTTAGATAAAATAAGCATAAACCTATCTTACTATCTTATTATACGAGTATATTAGTAAGATAGTAAGATTAGTAATCGAGGCCAAACAATATTTTTTGTCTCTCTGTATGTTTATTCCGGTATCATGCAGAAATTACTTCATCCAATTGCATGTGGTTTGTATTTGTTTCTAAAGGTTTTGCATGAAAATTTAGTGTAGTTATATTTTATTTTCACCTACCTACTTCTAAAATCCACGCCTACGAAGTTGCGGCCAAAAGTTGGTTAACATAGCACAAGCCACTAGCCACGTGGCTCTTCCCATAAAGGACTCCGAAAATGGTAAAACATTTTATTCGTAGACAAAGTTTCTCTTTGTTTATATTATTATACAACACGTGTGTGTTACATTATGCAATTTTAGGGTAAGTAAATAAAATTATTTACACACTGGCAACCCGATTCGGTTTCGTACAGTTTTTTTTTTAATAAAATATACTCCATGTTTTATTTTCTTTTTTTTTTTTAATGGATGATAATGGAATGGTAACCCCACCCGCGCTATCGGTATACACCGGCGGAGCACCAGTGAAAGGTGACAGGTGAGGTTGAAGCAGGTCAGTTAGCCTATCTTGACAAATTCAACAAGAATTGTCCACGATGGTTTCCAGGGGAACCACGTGGAAGTCGACCTAATAAGGCATATTGCTAGCAATGGGGCTGTCAAACTCCATTACTAACAATCCCTTTCCCCCCATATACTCCATGTTATTCGCTCATAATGTAGCTAGCTAGGCAAAATTTTGATATTTTGGGTTACATTATTGTAATTTTCGTAGGGACTTCTAAGTTTTTGTAAATAAAATATATAGCGTATATTACACTTACAATGTAATTTTCTACAGGTGAAATAATTTTTAAAATTGGGTAAGTAATTTTTGAGTTTATAGATTACAAATAAAGAATCAATTCTTTTATCTTTATAATATTGATTTAGATGATTCCCCGAAAGACGAATGTTGTTACCAATTCTCGTTCTTAGGAATAAGCTTTTTAAATAAGAGAAAACATATGATTTTCATATAAATTTACTGTTTAACATTATTGTTGTCTACCTTTGTTATTTGCTCTCTATTATTTCAAAGTTATAAACGTACAATATGTATTGTTACGATAACCTTTAATGAAGTTACTCAAAGTACTGCATTTTGAAATGTAACCATATCACGTATTTGAATTTGATGAAAGACGTCCTTTGTTGGATACCCTTAAACAAATTCTTTGGTAAGTTAATTAACTTTATTTGAATATTAAAATTTAATATTGTACATCTGGCAGATGCAACATTTTATTTGGTTTTCTGTTGATGATTGTCACAATTGATGATTGTATTACAATATTTTAAAATATAATATAACGCTTTTTAAGATCTATTGTTAATATAATAAAACTGTAACTAGACATTGTCTGTACATGGTAGAAATTTTAGTATTATTAACACGAGTGGTCTTCAGAGGACTAATAAATATCAAGACAATTTTTTTTTAGATTATTTTTCTAATTTTTTGTTCTGATATCACATAAAAACTACAGAATCAATTACATCCAAATTTCACAGTTTTTTTCTGAAGGCGTAACTTAATATCTTGTGTGTTTTATTTTAGTTCGTCATCTTGAATTGGTCTATTTCGTTGATTTTCCTATATCCGAAATTCACGAAGAAGAAATAGTTTATTTTGTTCTCTGATCAGTCAATATGTTTCGATTACACTAAGTCATTATACCGCTACACAGGTAGCAATTATTCGTCACACGTCGGTTTTTAGTCGTCGACCCTAAAATTATTTTAAAGTGACGTCTCTTTTGAGTCGCATACGTCACCTTGCTACCTGAATAGTTACTTATATAATTCTATTAATGTTAATATAAAAACCCATGTACAGTTTATAAGTATTATATAAATAGTTATGAATATTTATCTAGTTATAAATACATAAAAATATCTAAAATATGTGTCTCAATAAAGACAATTCGGGATATCTTATTCTGAACAGGTATCGTTTTCAGTACAGTACTAATAAGGGTAAAGGACGGATAATCTCCATCCTCTGCGTCCAATGTTCACTACTAAGAGTAAAATATTTTATATAAATTATACGAACATAGTATTGTTTATTACGATATCTTTTGTCGTGATCTTGGAGGATTTGTCGGTTCAATTGACGCAGCCTTTAGCTCGCAGGACCAGAGGCTGCGTCAATTGAACAGTTTTTCATGACAAATCCTATTTTTAAAGTCTCTTCGATAAAGTCCTTTGAACACTCAAATGAGGTTTAAGTCTCTTTTAAATTTTCCTCATTTGATACGTAGTACGAGTTCTAGTGTAGTTTATGCAGCGTTGCCTGCATTTTATTTCTTGAACAGGAGAGCTATGTTTTTACCATGTACGTATAAAAAACACGTGTTTGAGTATCTTTGAACTAAAATAACGAATAAATATTGGATGAAATCAAATTCAGTGTTTTATCAGTGAAACGGACCTTTATTCCCAAAGAATTATGGGTCAGAAAATCGACAGAAAATTTAGAGATTCCCATAATAACTTAACAGTCGAATGCGCCGTGTCCCATTTTCCTTTGGGGGAAATATTCAGTTTTACTGGTACTGATAGCTTATCCGATGGATGGATGATGGTAGATTTAGGTGCAATGTTAGCATGGGAGTTTCAAAATGTTTTATCGTTTTTTGGCTAAGGTTTCCTTAGGGAAAATACTGGTGGAATATTTTGTAAAATTACAGTTGAATGTTAGTAATTTCCGGTAGGAGCTGAAATATGTTGAAAGGTTCAATTTCATGTAAAATTTGGTGTATAGATGGACCATAAAATATTCTAAATATTACATATGTTTATAATGTTATATTAATTAAGCCATTGGGTGTTAAGTTCGCTTACTTATATATTTGTGCATTGAAATTTAAATAAATAAAAATATATGGGTCATTTTGGTACTACTTTATGTGGTAAAAATCGGGGTTTTAAGATAATCGTTTATAAAGACGATATTTGTGATGCTGTTACAAGAATATTGCTATAGCAATAAAGGTCCAGGTTCAATTTTCGGTTCAGTCAAATGTAGGTCTCTAACTGGGACTTCATACAGTTTTAAATATAAGTCAAGGAACACTTAGGGGTATCAAATTCTAGAATAATTTAGATAGCTTTATTCAAATTTAGAAATTCCGTGAGAACGAAACTCGGCTACTGTGACGCTACTGAGATAGTAAAATTTAAATTCCATTTAAAATTTATTGTACAGGTAAAAACAAAAGTATGCCAGAGAAAAGGCTACAGAGCAAAGTGTGTTCTTATAAATTCTTTCTTTCTTTTTTCCTTTCTGTTCCATTTAATTTCAACATTCTCTTACAAAATAATATATTAGCGTAGTCTAAGCTTATAAAACTAAAATATGTTAACAATTCTAATATATGACGGGGTTAGACAGACACATTTGTACTGCTGACGAAATGGCATACGTAATACTCGACATAATCATGTTTTGAACATATAAGAATCCGAAGAAAAGTTCTTCAGTAGCGACCCTGTACGGGCAAATGTAGTGTAGCACGACCCCCAATGAGAGGAAGAGAAGACTTCAAATGCATTGCTGGGAGTCAATGGATGCAAGTGGCTCAGAATCGTTCCTTATGGCAGTCTATGGTGAAACCTATGTTCAGCAGCGGACAGATAATGATTCAGATGATGATTATGATGAACGAAAAGTAATGTACAGTGGTACCCTGCACTTTGGTTGTTTTGTTAAGAGAGGGACTGGCTGAAAAAAAACCAGCACTGTGCAGCTGTTCACTATGCGCTGGGACACTCACAGCATCAGTTGAGCCGGTTCCTTTTGTCAGGTGTGGGACACTTTTTGTATATGTTATTTATATTTTATATTGTAAGTTTACTGGCAATAAATGTTTCTATTCTATTCTATTCTATTCATGATAATAGAAATTGATTTGATTTCTTGCCAGTTTTTTTCAACATCAGAAAGTTAGTCGAAAATTTTAATTGACATTCAATTTTGCATTCGGTAGATATATATTCGGTAGACAGATAGAGTCGATGAAAAAAACAATTGCAATTTTTCTGATGTTGCCGGTGTCTATAATCTTTTACCATCAGGTGAACTGCATGTTCGTTTGCCCTCTATATTATAAAAAAAAAAATCGGTCAACATATCTCAGTTGGAGTCGCGAATAAAAACTAATATAGTAATAAACAGACTTTAGCAATGGACTGTGAATATCAAATGCTTACGGAGAGAAATGAAGCCAATATGATATTGTATTAACCCTTCAGCAGACACTCTTGCGTGACCCAATTCCTTAGCAATTTGCTTTTATCTATTTCATATCTGTTGTTATTTTTACAACTGAATTTACGAGCAAAACGCTGTCGTCAGTTCATAAAATATGGTTTTTAATATTCGTCTTTGTGCCTCTTTTGTTATTTGTGTTGTATTTTGTGTTGTGGCTTTTAAAGGATTACAGTAAACAGCAGGGAAATGGAATCTTTATATATCTCATATATGGGTAGCAAATATATATGTCATATACTATATCAGGTCTACGGCGTAGAATAGGCCACTCCTTCCTTTCCTGTGGATATCGTAATAGGCGACTAAGGGAGGACGTGAGATCGGCAGTAGCGCCCCTCTTAAAACATTTTTAAAGCTTAATTGCAATTGCCAATCTGCCTGCCAAACGTGGTAACTACTGGCAAAACTTCTAAGGCGAGGATTATGTTCAGCAGTGGACAAATAAAGGTTGATATGATGATGATACTATATTTTACTTATAAAATAAAATTAGAACTAGACGTTAGTGCATGGAATAAAGAAAAAAAATTACCAGAGGGAGTCTTTGTACAAAAGTCGATTGCTTGGGTACCTTTGTCCTATTCGTGTTTCAACCGTGAAGCAGTTGTGTTTGCATGGCTGTCTTTCGGTTTGAAGGGTGAGATATGGTGTGAATTCACTGGGTACAGAGGAATAACACCTGAGTTCTCAGGAATGGCAACACATGGGGAGTATTATGGGCGAAACAGTATACTCTGTTATGTTCATGGTACTGCTCATGTCTATAGGCGACGGTTACCACTTTTCATCAGGTGGGCCGTCAGCTTGTTTGCTATTCTAAGTTGTATAAAAAAAAACAAATGATGGGTCTATTTAATAACTATTCGTTGTGAAACAAAATATACACTTTGTATTAAGGATGAAGAGTTATATAGGCTACTTTATCTTAGTCGATAGCATATCCCGGTTACGTGGACGAAGTCGCGGGCAATAACTAGTATATACTAATATTATAAAGAAGAAAGAGTTGACTGCTTCTTTGTAATGGATAAACTCAAAAACTACTTCACCGATGATAATAATTCTTTCAACTATATAAAGCTATATTATCAGCAAATAACATAGACTATATATTATTGTTGTTATGTAGAATTGCTAGTAAACCACAAAGAAAGAACAGTTATTTTTTTTTGTTATATTTCTTTAAATCTTATCAGAAATTTTAGAAACTCTTATCTTTTAATTAATTTTTTTAGCGCACGAATTTTTAAAGTCTTTTAGTGTTCCCTGCTCACTCAACTCACTTTCACATTTATTATATAAAAATTATGTCTCAGAATTATGGCTAACATAGATTACAGGAAGACATGTAAACCATACTTTATTAAACAACATTTTAACTTTACCATCAATGTACATACTGGGAACGTGCCATTTTGTTAAATGTAATATGCATCTATTTCCACAATATACATTGCCCTCAAACATGGCGACCGCAGTGTAGATTAGCAAGACCATTCTCGAAACTACAATTATTCCATTCAGGCCCTTGCGCAATGTCAATTAAAATTTACTATAAAATTCCACTAAACTTAAAAAAATGTAAAAGATTTTAAAAAGTTTAAAATAGCTTTGAAAAATATTTTAATTATCAAAAAGTTATTATACACTGCAAGAATTTTTCAATGGGAAAATATAATTTTATTTGTACGTATTTGTTTTGTTTTAATTTAATAATGTTTTTTTTTTTGTTCATTGACTATGCATGTATAATATAAAAATGAAGTTGTATATTTTATATAACATTTATTAATATGATTGCTGTGCCCTTCCAGAGTTCAAGTCGATACTGTACCTCTTAAGATCTTTGATCTGCTTAAGATCTATATTGTTACAACATGAAAATGCCATAAATGATTGAATTAAATTATATTGGTAAGAACATTGTTAAAATACAGTTTCCTTGACAGACAATGCGGGGGCTTTGACAACACACCGGTGCAGGGAGCTCGTCGGTCAGGCACCAGGAGTTCACCGGACTTGTCGCCAAACAACTCAGTATCAAGACAGCTGACGTGGCGGGTAACCAGTACCAGGTTAGCATAACACTGAGGCGTTATTCCGAGATGTATTTGTACCTTATACCTGAGTATGAGGCAACGAATGAAATGTTTGTGGTGCTGGTCATGTCTGTAGGCGACGGTTACATATTTTATCAAGCTAGAATGCGAAAGTGAATCCGTGGCCCCGAAACTACAGCGAAGTGACGAAGCATTGTTAGGGTTTAACGGGCAGGAATCCGGCAGCGCTTGCTCGCCTGCTGCTTCGTCTCCGAAAGAACGAGTCTCTATAATGAATTTCTGCGTCAAAATTTGGAGGACATGCTTCTCCCTTTGAATCAAATCACAACCATGCAAGTACACTTAGTGGCAGAAATATGAGTTGGCCATAATATATTAACTCCAGAGATACAACAGAATGTGCTTTTTATTTTAATACTATTGTACATATTACAACTTCTAATTTCAAGCTAAGTAGAGTTTGTTTGGTACTAGATAATTATTAGCAGTATTTAAATACTTCTTTTGTAAATACATACATATAAACATGTAAAACACCCAGGCCGATACAAATACACATGCTAATTAAATACAAAAATGTTTGTTATGTGGGGGATCGAACTCGTGACCATGTGCAGTTAAGGCAGTGTGTTAAACCGTTACACCACCAAGGACATCAAAAGTATAATGTAATTATGTTATGTATCACACCTCTGTACGAATGTAATAAAGCGAAAGTATTTGTTTGAATACGCTAACCTCTGGAACTACTAGTTGTATTTGGTAAATTATTTTTGATAGCTTCTTTATTTAGGAAAGTTATAGACTATTCAATGTCACGATATGACCACGGGAGAAGAGGCGAGATACGATTAGTAATATATATATTTATTATATATTTAATTATACAGGACTCCACGCAACAAAGTCAGTATGAGCGTGTCACATCCTCAACTGAGTTATATGAACGGCTGTGGAGGCGGCGGAGGTTCTGGGGGTTCCAGAAGAGGGCGCGATGTCGCCACTCAAACTCCCCTGAGTATAGCAGCGGAAACCAGGAGGGCGAGGCTGAGACCGCTCAAGCTTACTTTGGCGGCTCCGAACGCCTTAACTTTGAGGTACGATTAGAAAAATAATTAAAAATAACATTTTAATTCATATTTATTTATATATATTAATTATCATCAATATTATGCGTATTGAGCAAATACACGCAAGAGCACAGAGCATATTCCTTTTTAAAAAGCCAGCAGAACCCCTGCAAATCCTCCAATTGTTCCAGGTGCTCATGGGCGGTGGTAGTCACTTACCCTCAGGTGAGCCGCATTTCCGTTTGCCCCCTGTGTTTGGTAGAATACAAAATCTCTGATCCCTGGCATACAACATTGTTGTATTACCTACATACAACATTATCTACTTAGGTGTTCCTTACCACTTTACGACTGTCTCGTAAATATCGTAAATACAGAATACTGCTTCTATCCAGGAAATTGTGCAACGTAGTAAATCATCGTATCAAATTAAGGTAATATATAAATCTAGGTATATATCTATTAATATTATAAACATGAAATTATAAAGATTTTTGGCAACTGATGAGGAAGAAAGGTTCCTGAGTGGTGACTTCGTACAGGCAAACATATTGCAGGATGACCTTCCACTAGGTGGAACGACGACCTAAGTTGTGTCTAGAACTGACTCTCTGTGTGAGTGTGAGTGGATGCAGTTGGTTCAGAACAATGCATGGGGGGTATCATGGGCGAAACAATATACTCTGTTATGTCCATGGTACTGCTCATGTCTATAGGCGACGGTTACCATTTTCCATCAGGTGGGCCGTCAGCTTGTTTGCCATTCTAAGTTGTATAAAAAAAAATGTTCTTTATGTTCTTATCTGTTCTTATTCGTTCTTGTTCTTCGTATCTCTATGTTTCTGTTCTTATCTACGGAGGAGGTCTTTTTATAACACAGAGACAGCTGATAATGACTACCGTCACTCATGAGTACCTGCTTATGTTCAGCAGTGGACAATTAACGTCTGAAGTAATGATGATGTAGATTGAGCAAATCAAGTACTAACAAAAGGGGCACTTTTTATCTTAGTTTATGCAACCAAAGTTACGGGATGTAAATAGTAAGTAACATAAAAAAAAACGCATAGCCGAAGCTATTATAGTAGTCATATAGCGTGGCGGTTATCAAAACTTGAAATTTTGCATAGAGCTTCTTTATAATCATGAGCACTAACGTGGTCGAAGCTGTGAGAAACAGTAAAGTTTCAGTGCTCTTGCTAATTGTAATAAAAGGATTATGTAGGTAATTTGCTTAAATTACACAGTGTAAGAAATGAGTGAATATACGTATCTGTTGGACGACTGGTAGGTTGGTTTTTTAGACTGTATGAATACGATAAAAATGCTAATACTCTACTGTTTTTTTTTTTTTTTTTATATAATTGAAAATTAAAAAAGGAATTTAGAAAGATCAAAGCTTAGATTAAACGTATAAGAGCAAAGATAAAACGATACAAATATTAAAATTACAACTTGCTTACGTAATTTCAAAATCATATCCAGCTATCTGTGGAAATTATCATGAAATTACAATTTAATTCATAATAAAAAAAAAAATTGTATTCTTATGTAAATGTAATGATAATGGGATATATTTAAAACAAATTATATTTCGTCCAACGAAAACTGAAATGAAGGTTTCTCTCCACAAAGGTCCCAATAGGTAATTTAATACTATACAAATTATATGTTGTACTTTTCAAGATGTTAATGGAGACAGACTAAATAATTATTGTTTGTATTATTATTATTATTTCAGCCCTTAATTGTCCACTGCTAAACATAAGCCTTACCCAGCTTTCCAGTAGTTGCCACGCTTGGCAGACGGGTTGGCAACCGTAAACCAGATGTTGTTATAAATGACCATTGTGTAGATTTCATTAAAGGACATAAATACAAATTACATCAAATTATTTCTTTTGAAATAAGTTTTTGTTCGTGTCGTGCGTGCAACTGATTTAATTTCTTTTATTTTACTACAGACAGATATTATAACCAAAATTTAGGAATGACAATAACAGACTTCATATTTCTAGTATCTATATATATAGTGTATATATATATATTGATAACTATATTGCAAACATAACGCTTATCGCACCTTTAAGCGCAATAATTATATTAAAAGCGATTTCATCCGAATTTTGTGTGAAGCGATTTCATTTAGCAGAATTTATTGTAAGCTTTATATCAAATAATTTGGTAGTACGATTTTCTCATTCATTAGTATTGAAAATTAATTCATGATATTATAATATACCTATCTCCAATGTTTTATGCCTCGACTATTTAACTTAATAACTTTTTAAAATCAGTAATGATATTATATATTTATATTGAAATTATCTACTGGAATATACATATGTATTATTAAATTTACGAGTAAAATGTTTAAGTAACTTTTTTTTATTAAAGAGTTTCCTCTTATCGAAGTAACTAATTCATGCATTCTTTTCCTTTTCTTCCAGCCAGCTCTGTGTTGGCCCATATCTTTTTTTGTATTTTTCTTACGTTTTGTAAAATAATTACCAAGAGTTGCCAAAAAAATTTATCCATAATTAGCATTAACATTAATTATATAAAATAATTACCCTATTTATTAATTAATTTAACTATGATTCAGTAACAATATCTCTATATCACAATCAAATCCCGAAATAAATCACGTGTGGGGATATATCATCATCCCCATACCAGTCGTTAACTGTCCACTGCTGAACATAGGTCTCTCACACATCGCCATGTTTGGTTGGTAGATTGGCAACTGTAGTTTGGCAAGGTTTTAAGTGGGACCTAGAGACACCCACGCGAAAGGAAAGGGTGGACTATTCTATGCCGGGGTCGCACGGCGAAGTAACATATATACATATATATTTACAAATTTTCACACTTACAGCATTAGTAATATTGATAATTTTAACATTCAGACGGCTCTTGAACCATCGAAACTTTAAAACATTCGATGTTATCTTTGTCTGTAATTAATTATATTTAAGCTAGACTAAATTACTTCAAGTCGATTTGAATCACTTCTTAAAATTAATTAAATTCTTATTCTGTTGAATGTTACTTGATTTAAAAGATAATCAGCCAGTACCTTCTTGTGTGGTGCTGGCAGATTTCGAAGAAGAATTTTCAATGAAATAAAAACGAAATGTTCTTTTTTCGAATTTAATTGGTAGCCTGGAAGCTCCGAGAACTCGACGACTCTTTTGAAGCGTAGTGCAAAGACGAAACTTATTAAATCGAAAAATATAATGTGAAGAAAAATAACGATACATCATGGACTCGTCCAAATAAAAAATAACAATTCATTGTGCACAAAACCGATATTTTTTATTAGGGAACAAAAGTTTCTTTTTATAGAACTTAAAATGGTAAACAAGCTGACGGCCCACGCAATGAAAAATGGTAACACATATTCCTGAGGATCCGGAACATTGAGGACTAAGGCTTTATGTGTCTGTACTACGTAATTTTACTACCACATTTCGTTCTTCGAAACGAAACACACCGAAACTGTTTCAAGGAAGAAACACGAATAGGGATGACCAAGCAAACGATTATTAAATTATTGTTTTTTTTTGCAGATTCCTAGCCAATAGAAAGAAAGGAAGGTCGCTGTCAGCCAATGCGGTGGCTAATGAACAGAAGGCTACCAAAGTCCTTGGACTGGTCTTCTTTACATTCGTATTGTGTTGGGCGCCATTTTTCCTGCTAAACATGTTATTTGCGTCGTGTCCTGCGTGTATAGTACCAGGTGAATCCTATTCTACTTTACTACTATTAATATAAACGCGAGTTTGTGAGGATGTATAGATAGATGTTTATTATTCTTTAACTTAAAAGCTACTAAATTAAATTAAATTTGGTATCCGGATAAATTATATCCTAACTTAACATATAGGATATTTTACACAGAATATTAGCTAAGCTAGTCATTACAAATTTGATACTCGTAGTTTGCAAAATTATTTGCATGTTTGTTGCTCACTAACATTCAAATAGCTGAATCGATTAAACGATATTTCGTATACAGATGGTTCATATCCCATATTAATAAATAGGACAATATTGTAACAATTTTACTGAACTTAGTGTTATTTTGCGAAAGTCCATACCATTAGGCAGTTGATTAGAAATATTTTGTTTAATTCCGCTACCATTGTTATCCGTGCGACTGGGGGCGAGAACGGTATAGTTACTAATGGGGTGAAATAGCCCCATTACTAACAATATACCCTGCCAGGTCGACCTCCACGTGGTTACCTTTGGAAACCATCGTGGTGAATTCTATATAGTTAAATGCGTCAGGATGGGCTAATTGACCTGCTTTCAATCTCATCAGTCATCTATCAATAGTGCCCTGCCAGTGTATACCGATAGCGCGGGCGGGGTTACCATACCATTATCATCCATTGATAAAAAAAACCCGTGCGACTGCCCACACTCGAAGATTGATTACTATATTTACATCTGGTAATAATAACATCGGCAACGCACAAGCAACTCCTTTCGTGTTGCAGGTGATTATGGGCGACGGTAGCCACTGTCCATCAGGTGGACCATCTGTTCGTTTGACTCCTTAACAATAAAAAAAAAGTAGTGAATCTTCAAGTGTTGGCAGTCACACACATACTAATAGTAGCGGAATTAAACAAAATAATGTTAAATAACTAACTATACTAATTAAACAAAATTTTTAAATAAATATTTGAAAATGCCATGAATTAAATAAATGACGAAAGTAGTTAGGTATTTATTACAACAATTTGTGTGAGAGTAGTGTTTTTCTAATAATTTCAATAGTATTTACAGGTTATGTAACTTTGTCGTATAATTATTACGAAATCAAAATGAATAGTTTTAAATCAAATTAAAATGTTGGCGAAATATTCCTACTATAACTAAATAGAAGCAATATATTAAAGTAAACTAGCGACCTGCCCTGGTTTCTCATGATTTTTTGGAAAATAATATACGGCGCATGTTTTCGCCCAGATTTGCATGGCTGATAACGAAGAATTTTTAAAATCGGTTGTGTTTTTTTTTTAGTTTATCAATTACAAACAAAATCAAGTTTTTCTCTTTATAGTATTAGTTTAGATAATAATAAATCCCGTAAACATCTCATAAATCCAATAGGAACTTAATATATCTCTTCTCACTACATTATACGATAATGCTTAAAAAATATATATCGAATCCATAAAAATAGCTGTTAAGGAAGAACGCTGGAGTCCTCACTGGAAGATTTTTTATTAATACTAAAGTAATAGATATCTTCGGATATAAAGATGAATATCAGCCGTCCAATACTTACTTTTATAAGGGTCTCATTTTATGATTTATTCTGTGTCAGTTTCCAAGTATTTAACATTATAGCTTTTATGGCATATCATCATTAGATGATAGGATATTTTACGCGAATTTACACTATACTATATTTTTACCAGTTTCTCCAATAATATTTTATTTGACTACACAGAAATTGCGAATAAAATTTGTCTTATTTATTTATTTATTAATTCATAGGAAAACCAGGGCTACACTAGAGCAAAAAATACAGTTTAGGATCATAAAATAAGCCACTAATAGGTTTCACAAGTAGCAACAATATATATACAAGGCGCTGTATACAAAGAAACAAAAATAGGAGTTAACAAAAAAACTAAAGTTAAATAAAAGCTTAAAAAAAAAAATTACAAACAAGAACGAAAACAAAAAAAAATGATGAATTATTAAGTACATACCTCTATGTGTTGTACTCTTCTATATGTGTTTCTGCCTAGAAATTGCTGTTTGGATTGTATTTCGGATTTAAGTCTTAAATATGGTGGTTGTTGTTATAATAATCTAATATACGAATAAAAAAAAGATAAGATTTTTATTTTATTTTTGAAGAAAAATCAAAAGCAAAAAAAAAACAACAATTATAAAAAAAAAATATTAAAGACAAAGGCATTTAATGTAATCATTTAATGTAGTTGTGACAGATGTTAATATATTGACAAATAATATAAATGATAAATAGTGACACGTGTAAGCTTATAAAGGTAGCAGATGTTATATCAAAGTTGTGAAATTATAAGATAGGGAGACATAACATCTTATTCATCAGGAATTAGAGTTGCCATGAGTATAACGGTATATTCTGTAACGTTCATGACACTGTTCATGTCTATATGTGATTTTTAATACTTCCCATCAGGTGGGCGTTACCTTATTTACAATTTAAATAACAGTGTTATATTAAAATAATATAATTATACTATATTTATTTTGTAGTATTTTGCAAAAAAATTCATTTAACAAATAATAATAAAAAAGTAAAATAATATCACATTAAAAATAACACACATTAAAATGGAGCTAAAATTTTATTTATACTGCTTTATAACATCGGTTCTTAAATTTTAGAAGTTGTTGGATCAAAGGTTATCTCAAAAAATACCAGGTTAAGGAAACTTGCTTTTAATCGCATAGGAACACTATTAATTTAGAAGCAATGTAGATACATTTCGGAAATTCTTAAAAGCTTTTAAATTGTGATTTAACTAAACGTATTGACAAATGACACTGATAACGGAATAATGCTGGATTTTGCATGGAATACGATTTAGGGATCGCTGCACTACAATGTCAAGGTCACAAATGCGCTAGCGTATTGACCTGGCGGCGCCAGGTGTCGCTTGTTACGTAATTTTAGTAACAATGCAGTCAGGGAAGCATTTGAAGAGAGTTCCTTAGATTATATAGATAGAGCATCGAGCCAACTTTTTGTCAGCCAATTGTCAAATTAGCTGACTCGTTTTTTTTATCAGTATTCTATATATAATTGCGCATAAAATGTATCTTGACATATTATTTAATAAATAAAACGAGTCTTTACGTATTAAAAAGATGAAGAATTTATAAGACAAAATAAATAAAGAAGTTATAAAAGAATCACTTATAACTATTTATCATGCAAAATTGTATGAAAAAGTTGGCTTTATGAAGCCTTTTTTCTCGAAGCATTTCTGTGGAGACACTTGTATCTATATAATCTATGGAGAGTTCATACAGCGCCAACTAGCATCGGCTCTAATCAGAGTATGTTATGAGTATTAGATAATTGAAAGGTATATTAAAAAATATATTTATTGTAAATACATATAGATAACACCAATATATATATATATATATATATATATATATATATATATATATATATATATGAGTATAAAATGCTTGTATTGCGCAGTGAAATCCCTTTTTAATATTGATTAATACCTGACAAATTCCAAATATTGTATTTTTATTTTATTTTACCTGCTACTTTAAACGCGTCTATTTAAAAAAAAAAATAATAAAATATACTACCTCTAGATATGCGAAACAGTATACTCTGTTATGTCCATGGCACTGCTCATGTCTATAGGCGACGGTTACCACTTTCCATCAGGTGGGCCGTCAGCTTGTTTGCCATTCTAAGTTGCATAAAAAAAAAAAAGATAGCGTATCAAGATAAAATATACACCACATTTTAAGCTAGATCTTAAGGAATGTAACTGTGAAAACTGCATTCAATTTAATGCAGTAGATTTTGTGTGATACCGGAACAAACATGCAGATAGACAACCAGATAATTTTTTTAAAAAATATTGTTTGGATATCTATTGGATTTGTGAAAACCCTTAATATATATATTAATTTTTATTAAATATCTCCCAAGTACAGATATCGTTTAGTTGCAATTTTATTATATTAGTAAGATGCTGTCTCTATTTCTCTATTTGTTAATATAGTAGGCAGTTAAATGACGGAAAAAACAAACATTCAAACACAAATTCTGTCTCGAACAATCCGAGAGGGGCAGTGCACGAAAATATTTGTTGTCTGAAGCGGTTAAAAGATTAATCGTTTATTTTTGTACACAGAACACGTGGTCGATATTTGTCTTTGGCTGGGCTACGTGTCTTCCACAATAAATCCCATCATTTACACAGTCTTCAACAGGACGTTCAGAGGAGCATTCCTGAGACTATTGAAATGTCATTGTAACAGGTATGGCTAAAAATTAATTACTTTTTTATTTGGATCCTCGCATATTATTTTCGATCCAAGTTTTTTGGGGCAAATGTTCAGTTTTATTGACAGAGTATTGCCTTAAAAGAATGCTAAATATTTTATTTTTTGTTCTGAGAGATAGATCTCTCAGATATATATACGATACTCATAGATCTCTCGCGCTAGAGCGCAAAGACAGTAAATTTATTATGATAATTAAAATCTATGTTAGTAACGTTCCTTCACACTATTCTCCGAAATCGCTCGACTGATTTTAATTAAATCTCGTAAATATGCTTTGTTCGCTCCATTTTTTAATGGATGATAAAGACATGGTAACCCTACCTTCGCTATCGGTATACGCTGGCGGGCACCAGTGATGACGATAACTGAGAATTGAAGCAGGTTAGTTGGAGCATAGTAACGAATTCAACAATAATTTACTAGAGGGAGACTTTGTACAAAAGTCGATTGCTTGGGTACCTCTGTCCCATTCGTGTTTCAACCGTGAAGGAGCCGTGTTTGCATGGCTGTGTTTCGGTTTGAAGGGTAGGATATAGCGTGATTTTACTGGGTACAGAGGAATAACACTTGAGTCCTCAGGAATGGCAACGTATGGGGGTATCATGGACGAAACAGTATACTCTGTTATATCCGTGGTACTGCTCATGTCTGTAGGCGACAGTTACCACTTTCCATCAGGTGGACCGTCAACTTGTTTGCCATTCTAAGTTGTATAAAAAACATGGTTTCTAGGAGTAACACTGTGCTCTGTTTGTTTATTCATTAATTGCTTATAGCGGACAGAATAACATTAATGGGGTTAAATTGTTATATTATAATAATGTAATTCAATTAATTAAACATTCCCGATAATTAATTCAGCGATTTAATTACGACTGCCAACAAATATCTTTCTAAATATTCTTTAAAGGTATTCAAATAAGATTTTAATTGCATGGCTTAATATTGGAAATGCAAATAAGTGTTGTCTGAATGGAATAAGGCAGAATTTATTGCGCCTATATTATTTATTACATTTACCAACTAAGTGAGCTTGACAGTTTCCAATTCGGATTCTTAGGAATCAAAATATATGAAACATAATAAAATTTAATTGCTGGACACTTTCTAAATATTGTATAGCTCATTCTGCGAAACTCGACAAGTTTACAACTCTAGTATATCAAAGTCCGGATGCTGGCTCATAATACCGTTTAGCAGAGTCAAATGCTTTTGCTAGCTTTATTCTTCTTAACTATTATATCTTATTCGCTTACAATTAAGTGGGTCGTATGCTGATTTACCGCTTTAGTGGTATAAAAAAAATTTAGACTATAAAATAAATTTAGATTATGAAAGTTGTATTAAAAGGGCATGCCGAGTGTAACGTTCATAACAACGGTAATAGACGATATAATATCCCTGATTATCTATATTTGTGGTTACAGACAGGATATTTTTTTATTCTTAATCTGTAACTTTTTTATGCATTTTGAAATAGTAAATTATTTAACGGCTTACCTTATGGAAAGTAGTAACCGTCGTCAATAAACAGGAACAGCAACTATGCACATTGTGACGACTTTGGTTTCTTCATGTATTGGCTTTCTTGAGGACTAAGGTGTTATTTCTCCGTATATATTAAATTATCGATTAAATAACTTATTATTTGCGCAGACGAATGCTCACCTAGCGTTATATAACTATTTATTAGTGTTTGCGCTTGAAGCTGAGAAGTTCTTGACGAAATAAAATGCTTGTCCGTGCCTCAAGTTTTATATTATAATAAATAAAAAAATACAAAGGTGCCTGTAGTCCTATCCGTTATCAAAATTTGAAATATTTGACCTTCCGACGGTTGAACGATCTATGTCTATGGTTCTAATATTGCAAGTGCGAAAAATTTTACTCCTATAGAGTCTGATCTTGAACAATTAGCTAAAAAAATTCACATTTCAATTGTCATTAAACTGTATATTATCAAAAACTTTACACAAACTTTATCTTGCCCACATTCAATTAGATCTTGTCGAATTACCGGTCGGATATGGGTATTTCTTTAAAGAGGAGATTATAGCCTTTCTCTTAAGAATAAGATATAGCTGGTAAATATCACAGTAGCCAGTGATTATAACTTTAAAAATAATAACACTGAGAGCTCACAAAAATGTTGATGAATAACTCATAAATAAAATGTATGAAATCTTTTGTTTTGATCTAAATAAGTGCTTCCTATATAGGTGCAAAAATAATTTTCCATACATTTCCTGTAAGACTTGGATTATATCCAAAGCGATTGTAAAGTCTGGTTCCCTATAACCTTGAGGCTTCCGTTTGTAATGTTCCGCCGGCACTTCCTCCTCTTGATTTGTAGTTTTGTTATTTGTATTTTACAGTTAGACTGAAAACAATATAAACTGGGTATGTACCCTAGCATGCAACTGCATAAAAATGCTTCTGTTATGACATTGGATGGTTATAGCATAAAAAAGTAAATACTTCCTTTAAATATAACCAGGTTCTCAATTCGTCCGTTTTTTCTTGCTAACATATTATGCTTTTTGCAATCGATAGGTTTTTTTAAATAGATGACAATGGAGTGGTAATTCCGTCTGTGCTAACGATATACGCTGGCGCGGCAACAATGAGAGGTGATAGGTGAGAATGATAAGGCAGGTCAGTTAGCCCATCGTGATGACTACACCTGAAGTTTAACACGATGGTCTTCAGAGTGGATCGCGTGGAAATCGACCTGATAGGGTATCTTGCTAGCAATGGGAATAGTATTCCGGATTACTAACAAACCCTTCCTCCCAATCGGTAGGGTTTACCCCATTTTAATTTTGTTACGATTAAAGCTGCTGTTTTACTTGGCAGAGCAAAAAACTTTTTGTTGCAAATTTAATTTATAAGATAAACACACAAAATCTGGAAGTGATTGTTTTAACGATTATACCGCCTTTTGTACTCCATAAGTGTAATTTATAATTATCTTTGTATTATTCGTTAAGTGATGCAATAAAAAGTAAATAAATAAATAAATAAACGATTCCTCGTTTTAAATTCAAATATTTCTAATGTATGCATGCGTGCGTGCGTGCTTGCATGTGTGCGTGCGTGCGTATAAGTGTTTATATGACTGGTACGTCTGTTTCTCGCAGTAAAATGTGCTTGTTTACACATATTCAACATTATCATCGTCATATTTGCCGTTTACTGTCCACTGCTGAACATAGGTTTCTCCCAAAAGAGAGGTTTTCCCAGAAGTTGCCATAGTTGGTAGTCTGATTTGTAACCGCAGTTAGGCTTTGGTGATGCTTTAAGAGGGACGCTGCTGCCCATCCCTCGACTTAATTTCCCTTACACGTATTAAACATTTTAAAATTTACAACCGGGAACTATGTGCCTATTTTGTTTGTATACAAAGAGATTTTGTTCCACAAAGAAAAACGGCGGTCCTAATATGGCGGCGGATTAATATGTCGAAATACGGAATTAAATCGTGTAGATTGTAAAAAAAACTTCTAAAATAGAAATGGCCAAGATATTGCGTTACGTACCTACTTATATATTTAAAAAAAGAAACATGCGAATTTAGAAGTCCTTCTCTTTGGAACTCGTTTGATATAAATTAATCATCATAACTCACGTACTACACGAAATAATAAGTAAATTGAGTCCAATTGTAAAAGTATTCCAATTTGACACTTGTATATAAATGATCAAAAGAAAATTGGTTAATGTAAAAAAAAAAGTACTAAAACAATTTCTTGCATTCATTTTGTTCGCATCGAAATTGGATCTTGTTATTTTTATTTTACAATATCAAAGTATTATATTTCCTTTTCGATTTATTTAATATGGCAGCGTTCCAAGAAATTATTATACTTTTTTTACTATTGAAAATGACGCTCGCATTGCTGTTTCATAGATGTACGATTTCATTCATTAAAAAAATGTATATTTTTTTTTATTAATGAAAATGAATGTTTGTATGTATATATTATTTATTAATTATATTATTTGTAAGTAAAAATGCCGTCTGTTGACTTGATGTATTTTGTATATATATTTTTGTTTTCATTTCAATTGTTTAGAAATTTTCTTTTTTATAAAAAACTACATTTGTCAGTATATGTAAAAAAGGTTCATTTTGAACAATGAGGATGGTCGTTAAAGCTGTATTAGTTTATGGTAGCGGAGTGCGGTGAGGAATGTTTAGTTTTAATGGACGATAATGGATGTAACCCTGCCTACGCTATCGGTATATGCTGGCGGGGCACCAGTGAAGTAAGGTCAATTAGCCTATTGTGATGAGTTCAACAATAAACCAATCACGATGATTTTCAGCAGGAATCGCAAGGAAGGCAACCTTATGGGGTTTTAATGTTAGTAATGGGGTTGCTAATCTCCATTATTAATAATTCCTTCTCCCGGTGAGAGATGGGTTAGTTGGCCAATCTTTACGAGTTTTAGGAGACAGCATATTTTTAGATACTTGTTTATAAAATGTGCTGGTTCTTGTATGTATATATTATTTATTAATTGTAAAAAAAATTGCCGTTTGTTGACTTGCTGTATTATATATATATATATATTTGTTCTATTTCAATTGTTTATCAATTTTCTTTTTTATAAAAAACTATAATTGTCAGTTATATGTAAAAAGGTTAATTTTGAACAATACTCATACAGTTTAGAATGCTATAGATTATATTAGGTAACATGTTTTTTGAGCAATTTGAAATGGCAAACAAGCAGACGGCCTCAAGTGAATGGTAAGTGATAATCACCTATAAATATGACCATAACAATTACAAAATATACTGTAATACTGCGGTACCCTCATGCATTGCTGTTTCTGAGAATTTACCATATATATTACGATTTTAATATAATTTCATCATGTGCCACTCTTTTATATTGTTTTTTTTTTAATAGATGATTAATGGAGTGGTAATCTCGCCTGAGCTAACGGTATACGCTAGCGGGGC